TGAAAATAAATCTGTGAAAAGATTTAATCACTGCAAAGTTGCAGAATCTTAACACCATAAATTGTAACATAGTAATGAATAGGAGAAGTCAGTGGAGACTTTAGAGGAAATGCAATGCCTTCATGCTCCTTGGACACAAGTAACTATATTTTTCATCCAGTTGAAGAATTACTTTCATCTGAGATACCCCACAGATACTGTGTGTTATCTTCCATGGAAGCCTCATTTTGTTTAATCAACCACCTCAGAGTAACAGAATGTGAGAGTCTTTTGTGCTTCTCGATGTCAGCTGTGTTCAGCATCAATTTGAAATGCCCACCTGATTCTGCTAGCTCTATCAAGTCAATTTAACCATGTTACCAGAACTGTACTAAAGTCATTCATGCTGGAAAATCAGACTACCTACCTTAATGCATGAAAGTAGAACGTTGAGTTTTTGTCTTCCTCTGGGAGCTCATGTTTTCCTACGTCTCTGCTCCAATAAAGTACAGAGAGTGAGCTTTTTGATCTTGCCTTTCAGTCTCTTAGTGTGGTAGAAAGTTTGTGAAGCTTTTCTTGCTTTGAAACCAACATATTAACAGGAAGGTGAAATTCTGAGATAAAGTTTCCTGAGAGGATCCAGATGGAAGGGAAAAGAGAAATGGCTTTTTCTCAGGTAAATGCATGTATGGACATGAGATATCTTGCCTGTTCTCCTACAAATGCTTCTTTTGTGGTGATCCTAAACCTTTACATTACGTCACAGTTTTCACAAGGCGTTTTTTCTATTTCTGATAAGGTTGTCATGGTGAAGTTATTTGAATGCATGTCACATGAGTGTGTGCTGTTTTCCGCTGTTTTCTCACTTTATGTTTTCAAAATATATTCTCTGCATTAATGCATAGTATACTCATTTGATATACAAATATACATGCATACCCATGTCCTAATGAAAATGGAATTGAGACATTTCATATGAATGAGAAAGAAGCCATGTTCCATGATCCTTTTGCACAAGTATCTATTTGTTCAATATAGACTGTTGTAAAAAAGAGGCACTATGAAAAACGATGGAATGTCTTCTTGTTAATGGATAATGTTTAAAGTATTATTTCAATGAAATACATACTGTGTTATATACAAAGTTGAAGTATATAATGTAATACAAATTTCCAAATGGAATTTGCCAGTCATAATGTGGTATGAAATTATCCTATCAGGCAAGTTTTCTTCTGTTTATTGTTATGATTGTAACTAGATTCAGAGAGTCTGTTCCATTGTTTCTTTTTGTTATCTATTAACCCTACAGTGAACTTGTAATCCTCTTCTGTTGTGCTGACACCTGGTAACAATCACTCCCCTGGGAGCTGATGCATTACTACATCCTATGGTTATATAGTAGATTTTTTGAACAAAGAACTAATGAAAATATTAAACTGGGTGCAAAGATGCCATTATTTACATACAGCATTTGCAAGTGAATCCAAAAGAAGCATTTTCTGTATTTAAAATAAACGTAAGAGAGAATCTAATCATTTGTTTTTCTGCAAAACTGTAAAATAGTGCAATTGTAGAATGAAACATGGACACTATAGGGAATACCTCATTGAAGAAACAGTTGAGGTATCAATTTTCTACTGTTCCTTGGTTGCAGACAAGTGTATTACTTAACCCAGGGTGAGAAATACATACAGTTGTAGCTACTCCTCAGATTCCATGAACTATTTAAAATACAGGTGTCTGTTATGTTTTATTTAATAATGTCAGAGAAATGGAATGTGAGGAAGGGGTCACTACAATTTCTTACAATTGTGTTTAGACTCGATTTAAAATGTCTGGGCACAGTAAAAAGTAGCATGGTGAGGCCACATGGCCAGGTTGTAGAAATTGCCATGATCAGCTGGAATAACAGATCCTCTCAATGCAGAAAAGGAGAAACTAACTTTAGATCTCTCTGTAAGAATTCATGATCTCTGCATCTCTGTTATGTCCCAAATCATTGATTGAGGATATTTTTTAACCTGCTTTCTGGTCTCTGAGTGTGGTAGCAGGGAATACAGGTGCTCCTACTTTGCATACAGAATATTATCAGAAAAATGAAACTTTAAGATGAACTTCCTGGCCAAGCAGTTGTGGCACACACCTTTAATCCCAGTACTCTAGAGACAGAGGCAGGAAGATCTCTGTGAATTCCAGGCCAGCCTGGGCAACAGAGTGAGTTCCAGGAAAGGCTCCAAAATTACACAGATAAACCGTGTCTCAAAAAACCAATGAAATAAAATAAAATAAAAATAAAAGGATAAACTTCCTGACAGGATCCATAGGAAAGGGGAAGAACAGATGGCCTGTTCTCAGTTAAATGCTTGCACAAGGATGGGACAGATTGACATTCCACACATAAATGTTTCATTTGCAGAGCTCTCAAAAACTCTTACAAAAACTATATTTTTATATTTTCTTATATTTTTGAAATAAATTCTTTATTATCACCATCATTTTTGTGTTCTACATCCTGATTTTAATTCTTTTCTGCCTCTTTTATTTCCCATTATGACTTTTCTACATGATTTCATGATCTGAAGTATTTTAAATTTTCTGATATTGGAGATGAACATTGAAACTCAATTCATACTGAGAATAACTTCAGAAATTATCACTGAGATAAAAGCACATATTTCATGAAATGTTTAGATGTTGGGCACTTTGATCTCATGAAAGTGTCAGAACATCATCCCTCTTAAAGTATAACATTTGAAAATTGAAGATTGATTGCTGATAATATAGGGATTTATTTAGTTAAATACTCTTTTGTGGGGCAAATAAGGACTCAAACCAACCTAACAAAGAACATTTGAATTTTCACATCAGAGTCCATTGACTTTCAAGGACGTGGCCATCAGTTTCTCCAAGGAGGAATGGGAATGCCTGGACAATTCTCAGAGAGAATTATACAGAGAGGTCATGTTGGAGAACTACAGCAACCTGGTTTCTGTAGGTGAGAATAAATTTTTTCATAATTGCTGCTAAGCACTAGGAATGCCTAGAAACTTGTATTAGTATTTGAAATGTTTTCAATCAATGAATTCCAATTATTTCTACATTTTGGTGAGTGTAATAGTTACTGAAATTTTTCTTTTTTGAAAATTTAAATGGCCTTTTAATTTAGCCTAATAGTTCCTTAAATCTAAATATTTGCATTCAGTCAGTCAATCAGTCAGTCAGTCAGTCACAATAATTTGTGAATACAGTTTGATTCCAACAGTTTTATTTTTGTAAAGGGGTAACTAAAGGAAAGCTGAATGTATATAAAATGAACATTAAGTTTTCTTAAAAGTCTACAGGACCTGTCCACTTGTGAGTCTTTCTTTATGTAACTTCATATCAACTGATAACAAGCCTGTTATAGATCCCAACTGTAGCTAGAGTTTTCTTGCTTTGTCCACAGTTAGGACAAATCTTTGTCACCCACCAGTCCCTCAGCCACTCAGACCCAACCAAGTAAACACTGAGACTTATATTGCTTATAAACTGTATGGCCGTGGCAGGCTTCTTGCTAACTGTTCTTATAGATTAAATTAATCCATTCCCATAAATCTATACCTTTCCATGTGGCTCAAGGCTTACCGGCATCTTCACATGCTGCTTGCCCTGGCAGCAGCTGGCAGTGTCTCCTTCTGCCTTCCTGTTTTCTCAATTCTCCTCTTTGTTAGTTCCTGCCTAGCCACTGGCCAATCAGTGTTTTATTTATTGACCAATCAGAGCAACATATTTGCCACTCAGAACACCCCACAGCACTTCCCCCTTTTTTTTAAAAAGGGAAGATTTTAGCTTTAACATAGTAAAATCACATATAACAAAACAATTATTGACCAAGAATTACAGTTGCAATATGAAAGAATATATCCTATCTATCTTATATTTGTGAGTTTAAGATTTTGTATCTAACTTATCTTTTATCATAACTGAGGAAATTGCAACTATCTAGTCTTCAACCATATCAAACATCTCGGAAGGATATAATATTAACTGAGAAATGGGAGAAGGATGTAAGCAACTTTCGGGAGGCAGCACCCAACTCTTTTCCACATCATATTAAGTAATTTTCATATGTCTCTTCTAATTCTCAGGCCTTTCTGTATCAAAGCCAGAGCTAGTCACCTGTCTTGAACAGAACAAAGAACCCTGGATCATGAACATGGAGAAAACAGAAGGTAGAGACTCAGGTAAGTTGGAAGGAAACTGGTTCATTTTTTGGAGTACAAAGAAAGAAACAAATAATAACTTCATTTGGATTAGTCCAGATTCTCAATAGAAGCAATGCTTGAGAATTTCATTTCGAATTGTGTACTAGAATCAAGCACACAGAGAATTTTACATGATTTTTTCTCATTTCTTCAGAATACTAAGTAGATGACATTTAGAATGCCAATAGCAAATTGACAATGTATGTGGTGCTTTATTTTGTGTTGCAATAAATGTCTGAATATTTTCTACTTTGTAACAGTGATGCTAGTGTTTCTCTATTTTTTGAAAATTTTTACAATATTTCTGGATCAATTTATTGTTATTTTTTTACCTCCTTGCATACCATTCCATTACCACACTCACCTAATGTCCTGATTCCCACATCCCATCTCATTCTCTCTATCAAATAAAAAACAGAATATACATTAAAATTGAGGAAGATTTTGGCTGGCCAAATATTTCTGAACACAAGGCTTTGAATATGATTGATATATCCTGATGGTATTTAGTTGAAAAACAGATTTTTTTACTCATGAAAGCTAAGGACTGCACATGTTCTTGTTAAAGAGTTATGAATATTGGCCTACTTTGCACTTTACAAGCTGAGATTTTGTCTGTCTTGAGCTTCTGTGGGTTTTGGCCTTGCTGTCACATACTTGGTGATTGTGTGGCCATTATGTCTATAATATCTGAAAACTTCCTCCCTACAGTCAGTCATTTACCATTTCTTGTCTTTATGCTCCCTCTGCATCCATTTATTCACATGTGCCTGAACAATGATTCAAGGAGTAAGATAGAAGAATCCCAGGTAGGGATTAGTTCTCCAAAACCTCCATACTAAGCTTCTCTAGTGACGGCTAATGAAATAACAATATAGCATTATTTGTTGGCACATAATTTGAAATTTGGGTATTGGCTACACCATCATTTAGTGAAGACACTTAAATTGTTTTAGATATATACACATTTTAATAAGCTTCTACAGAATTAGAGTTGTCTGTGTTTCTTCAAAAGATTTCTCCTGTGGTCCAGAGAGATAAAAATACTTTGCTGCAAATATGATTATCAGAGTGTAATCGCCATGGAAAAATAGAGTGGAAAGAGGTTTCTAAAAACTACTATCAAATCATATGCATGCCCATATATCTAGTCAATAAATACATAAATATATTTTTAAGATTATCAAGTACAGGCCTATAATCATAGTTACTCCTCTTTGTAATTAAAATTTATTTAATTTTTCATATATATATATATTTATACAAGAAAATTTGAATCAGGATTCTTATGCTTGGTGCTAAATTTATTGCTAGTCTCTCTTTCACCTATTGTACGGACTTTCCTTCCATCATAACTGTAAATTTTTCCCAAATTTTTCCCAATTCATAGTGTCCCTCTATTTCAAATCTCTAATCAAAGAATGATAGACACCTATTGAATGCTGTGACAAGGAGAATTGCCATCTGCTATAGTTTATCCCTGTTAGTGCTTTTCTAATGCAAACTGGTGAGACCTGAAATGATATAATCATTAACAATAAAGCTGAACTAACATTCTGAAGTTTTGTATTTTACTTGAAAAAATATTTACAAAAATATGCAAGTATAACAATTATGAACTGGAGGTTATATTATTGATTTGAGGATATGGGAGTAGTTGGAGGGAAAGTAGCAGGCATAATGTTAAAATGAATTTATATAATTATATTTAAAATAATTTACACTTAGAAAGAATTTTTGAATTTCACATGTAAACTTTGAGTTATGATATTTTAATTTGAAATAGAATCCTACCTTTCAGTCTACTTGAAAATATGAATGTTAGTCAGTAGGCCCTTTATCAATGTGGTGCTTTTGGAGGGGACAGAGTTTCTCTATGTAATTGCCCTGGCTGTCCAGTAACTTGCTCTGTAGTCCACGCTGGCCAGGAACTCACAGAGATTTGCCTGCCTCTGCCCCCAGAGTTCTGAGATTAAAGCCTCTGTGTCCTGAGTGCTGGGAAAAAAGGCATGTGCCACCACTGTCCAGCTTGCTTTTTTGTGTTTTTGCATAGAAACTTATTAGAGACCTAAGACCCTTTGGAAAAAACACATTGTAATGCACTCTGGCCACCATTCATAGTCTGCTTTCAAGTCAGTGAAGAACACTTTAAGAAAAAGTCACACTGCGATTCACATCAAAGGGCCATCTGGGATGTTTCTATCAGTTAGTTATACTAGGACAGGATTTAGTGAGGCCAAGTACAAGGTCTGCTTTGCTGACAACTAGTATTACAGGAAAGAAACCCATCCATCTTAATGTTGCAAAGGGCATCTTGTCCTAATTGACTCTACTGGCATTTTTTTTATTGCCTGGACATATAATTTACTTTTCTCACCTGTCCTCTTTTCTGAGACAGGGTCTGTAACCATGTAGCCCTGGTTGGCCAGGAACTGAATATGTAGATGATGATGGCTTCATAACCATGGAGAATCACCTGCCTCTGCCTCTGCCTCTGCCTCTGCCTCTGCCTTTCAAATGCTGAGATGAAAGGCAAGTCTTTTATCAATTTAAGATATTCTTAGGCAACTGAAAAATTGAAAGACCTATAGATAGACTGTGTGACACTCTATTGGAGAAAAGTTATGTTGTGTCTCAGTATATTAAGTGTCAGTTTACTTGTTCACATGTAAAATAGTGGTTTGGTTTAATTCAATATTTGATTATTTTTAAATATAACAAAATAATTCTCATGAGAATAAATATATCATTTTGGAGGTTTACAACATAAACAAAACAACAAAACAAAAAATCAAAGAATAGGCATAATAATCAAAGATCAACTCAGTGTCAAGCTCAATAATCCCATAAAACCATTAAATCAGAAGTCAAAATTTTTACACAGAAAATTTGAATGAACCTGTGTAGTCCCTGCGTTTGTTGCATCATTCTCTCTGAGTTCATATGAAATTCCCCCATGTTCATTTAGAGGGCCTGGGTTTCTTGATATTTTCCATCGCTGTGGCTCTTACACTATCTCCACCTCCTCTTCTCTAGGATTGCCTGAGCTATGGAGGGGAGGTATTTGATAGAAGGTTCTCATTTAGAGTTGAGTGCTCAAGGTCTCTGACTCACTGTAGAATTTCTGGCAGTATCTCTATATATTTTTGGATATTCTTTAGGAGAAACCTTTCCTGATAACATGTAAAAAAAACATTTACATACGAGTACTGCAGAATGTCATGAGGAGTCATTTTATTGCTACATTTTTCTTTCTTTAAATTAGTAGTATATTGTTTTATCCTAATCAAATGGGCTTTCTAGTATCAAGTTTAAGGTCATCTAAGAAATGTCAGGTATGGTATTCATCTGGAGAAATGGCCTTAATTCAAATCAATTATTGGTTACTTGCTCCATCAATCTTT